TTACTCCTTAAAAAAATTGGTACCAGCACTTTCAGAAAGAACTAGTGATTTAAGGTCTTCATGGTTTAATGGAGCTCCCAACCACCACCAGAAAATCGCGTCTTCTTCAAGTACTTCAGCTTCACCAATTGAATCCTCAGAGCCCCTAAGCTGCTTAACACTTCTGAAAAACTTGGCTTACGACTGTGTCATTTTTCCAAGCTCTTCAGCTTTCCTCTGATTTCTAAAGTGACCATTTCCTGTCATTTCAAATTAGCCCAGGAGATATATTAGGAACAAAACCAAAAAGAAATCTGCCTTAGAAAAGCAAAGACTTGAAAACAACAGACTCAAGTTTTCGCTCTACCTGGGAACAAAACAGTGACAGCAGAGATTCATTCATAATAGTCAGTCATCATATTTCAAAGTTCTCCCAGATTTGACCAGTATAAGGGCAGATATTGAGCTGGCAATGCGCGCTTGCAGCCCAGAAGGCCAACCGTATCCTGGGCTGCATCAAGAGAAGCGTGTCGAGCAAGTCGAGGGAGGGGATTCTCCCCCTCTACTCCGCTCTCGTGAGGCCCCACCTGGAGTACTGCGTCCAGTTCTGGATCCCCCATCACAAGAGAGACCTGGAGCAGCTAGAACAAGTCCAGAGGAGACCACCAGGATGATCCGAGGACTGGAGCACCTCTCCTATGAGGACAGGCTGAAAGAGTTGGGGCTGTTCAGACTGAAGAAGAGAAGGCTCCGGGAAGATCTCATAGCAGCCTTCCAATACCTGATGGGGGCCTACAAGAAAGCTGGGGAAGGACTATTCATAAGGGCAGTTAATGACAAAACAAGGGGAAATGGGTTTAAACTGAAAGAGGGGAGGTTTAGATTAGTTATTAGGAAGAAATTCTTCACTGTGAGGGTGGTCAGACACTGGAACAGGTTGCCCAAGGAAGTTGTGGATGCCCCCTCCCTGGAAGTGTTCTCGGCCAGGCTGGATGAGGCTTTGAGCAACCTGGTCTAGTGGAAGGTGTCCCTGCTGATGGCAGGGGGGTTGGAACTAGATGATCTTTAAGGTCCCTTCCAATCCAAACCATTCTATGATATGTAAAAAAACCCCAAACACCAGCAGGTTCATCAAATTAAGCTTGAATTTCACCCACAGTGATGACTTTTTCACAAGTGTTTGTTGCTATAATAATAAAACACTTTTTCTGCTGTAGACTTGCAGATGGCTAAGAAATCTACTCGGTGTGTGCACACACCCATCCTGTCCAGACTCTCAATAAAACTGCAACATGACTGCCCCTGCTCTGATTTTGATCAAGATGAAGCAACTCAGACTAAACAACAAGTAATGAGATCTTTGTGGTTTTCACTACCACTTGGGTAGGATTCAAACAGAACATGGTGTTCACGCGTACATGGAGTCAGATGCACACTTTAAACTAGCTTCAGACAAGTATCTGTAGCTGCCTAGGTGTAACACCACCGTGGTCAGCATGGGCAACTTTACCTACTTCTAATTGCAGAGGTGCCTCTGACAGAAGAGGAGGCTTAACTTCTCATTGTTATTCCACTGACCTGATGAGGCTCATGAAACATTTATGATCTAATCTTCCAGATTGATTTCCACTAGCATATGAATTATGAAAAAAATCAGGAGGAAATCTGGGCTTTTAGTAATACCATTGCTCTAAATGTTTTATTTGTATGGGACACTCTGTACAAGACAAAGTTAAATATTCATTTTGCACAAAGGTGACGTATGTGACACCTTACCAAAATAGTACCTCTGCTTACATATTCATCTACGTACACAATATGCCATGTCTTTTGTTAGCGAAATGGTCAATTTTCAGCAGAGAATGTATTTTTTTATGTCACAGAAGAAAAGAGAATGAAATTAAGGCATCATGCAGACCAAGTGCCAATGTCACTGGTGTCTTAATGCTCAATTATCAAACAGCTACTGTTTTGTTCATTTTAGGAAGTCACATTCATTGGGCAGTGAAAAAGAAAATGAGAAACAATGAAGAGGAAAACAGATTTTTTTTTAAAAAATAGATGCATGCTGCTGGAACAGGATGTGATTCTGCACAGATCTGTGCAAAGGTTTTTGTATTGCCCTATAGTATTTTGTATTGCCTTGTCTGATTGACTCAAAAAGCTTTGTAATGTCTTAAGGGAAATAACTTCTGGTGCTTTATATCGAATAAAAATATACAAGTTGTCTTATTGACACAGAAAGTGGTCGAGGTAATTCTCTGGCATTTTTCTAAGGAGAACTACATCTAAATTAATGTTTTGTTTGCATATTTTCTCCTTATGGAGAAAATCTCAAGAGCAATCTCTCTTGCCTAGTAAGGATGCTGCCATTGAACTCTAGAGAAGGAAGGATTCTCCAGAAGCATCCTGGAGCCTCCTTCTAGGCTCCAGGAGCGAGGATGGTGAAAGGAGCTTAGCAATGGTGACGTTCTCAGTGCTCCAGCTTGGTGAAATTACCCTACACAAGTGGTGGTTTGGTGAAGTGGTCCAAGGATTTTATTTCTGCCTTTGTGAATGAAGGCACAGGTGAATCTGGAGTTAGTTCACCTTAAATAGATGACAGATGGACAGTGGACTGTGCAGAAATAATATACATGGACACAATGACAGATGATAGGTAAGAAAGATTTGTTCCACTAAGGTTCTGTTGACACAGAAATTAAGTTTCTACAAAAATACTCTCCATAACCAGTGATGAAGGAGCCTGAAAGTACTTTGCAGCCTGTTTTAGAAAGAGGGTCAGAGTTCAGGGCCTCTCCTCATCTTCATTTACGGTCCAAGAAGAAGAATCATCCTACAGTCTGGAGCACAGTTCTTATCCTAAAGCAAAGACACATCACACCCTGATATCTCTCCTCCTCTGAACAGAGGAGAACAGCTCCCCTGAACACGTCTGCACTGTAAACATCCATATTTTAGTCAACTGAAATCTGTCCTGTCACAAGGCAGCTCCCTCCTTCTCCAGATGAACAGTTATCTTTGCTCCTCTTCTATCAGGGAGTGGAAGGTTATCTCCAAACTGACATACTTTAAAGCAGTGTTTTAAAGTAAATGGTGTAGGTTTACTAGACTGGAAAATGCAGAAAGGAATTTTTTGTTAAAACTGGTTCCAAAAATCTTCCACCATTTTTCATCTCTATTTTCTGTCCAAATGCATCCTACAAAAAAAATCTTCTTTTTCATTACAAGTACCCTGAGAGGTAGGTGGGAAAACAAAACTGTATTTACTTCATGAAACAAAGTATGGACCATAGTTCAGAGAAATTTCAAGAGGAGCAAAGGCTTTGGATATGGGTTCTTTGATAGTTTGGGATCTCCCTCTCTCAGAAACACTGAAGCTTACACTGAGGCATGTTCTTCCTGAGAAACTGGAGTGCTTGAAGTATGGATGAGAAGTGTATCTTAAAGGCAGAACTGAGTCCATCTATAGCTGACAGTACATACATATCTCTACACAGACAAAGACAAAAGGCTTTGCCAGAGGCCATATAACATCCCTGTAGTAGAGTTGGGAATGCGCTCAGATCTGATGCTGCCTATGGCCCAGAGGTTGAATACAAGATCTTAATCTCACAAAGTTTAAAGAGTTTTGCCTATCTGATCTAAACCAAACAAATTACATTACACGGAATTAAATAAACTTAAAATAACTGAAATTCTGAGATGCTTTAGTGCATATAGATAATTTGATATGATTAGGAAGCAAAGGGGGAGACAGCTGTTCATTCAAAGACTACCTAAATCTTACTGGTACCCATTATGGCTTATACTCAGGTTGGTTTCCAAATCCAGCTCAAGTGCTAATTACCCAAGATTTCGTATTTGCATAGTCAGTTTGGTATCTCTACACTACAATCCAGCTCAAGTGCTAATTACCCAAGATTTGTATTTGCATAGTCAGTTTGGTATCTCTACATCCTACACAGAGTAGGACATTGAACTTTTGTTGGAAATTGATTTTGGAAAGAGCAACTAGTGTATCAGGACTCAGAGGAGTTTGCATACTGACTAGGAAGAAGGTGCTATGATAAATATCAGAAAGTAACAGTTCTTTATTAAACTCTCATGAAATATTCACTCTCAAGATAGAGGAATAATTCTAGAAACACAATTTATCTGCCTTTTTTCCAAGGCATTTTTCCAATCTTCAGTTCAGTAACTTGTTCCAATTTTGGTAAAGTGTTGCCAAAATATGTGACTTAAAGAATTCATTTCAGAATACAAACTGTTGCTTCAGTACCTTGTGATAAATCTCCACAGTACATAATCTCAGTACATGCACTTTATTTAATCATGAATAATGGTATCTATGGCAGATAGGCATCATTTGAATTTCAAACCTAACAGCTCTTCTGTTCACTTGTAATTCTGAAGAAGCAAACCACAGATCTTATCTGTCACTTTGGTGTAAATAAACCCTAGTGTATACATATTTACAATGGTATAAATGTAAAGGTACTGATACAGCTATCTCTCATCCAGAAAGAAAAATGAGCTACATCAGTGATAGGCACTGTTACACACCAATTGCACCCAGTATAAGGAACATACTAGTGTTATTATTCTGGTAACACAAACCCACAATCCTTACTGCAAATTTTATGACACAACAAGAACTTTGTATAGGTCAGGCTTTATCTGAAAAGCCCATATGGTTACCAATCTGTTTAGTGTAAAACAAGACTTATTAATATCAGGTAAAGAAGAGAATATATATATTTCTTGGATGATATTTTATACTTGCACTGGAGTTTTGTAGATGAAGAAGTAGGCAGTACAGGGAAGGCATGTACAGTGACAAAAATCTGGGTTCAGCATCTTTCATCAGATGCTTTGAAACAATTGCAGGATACAGAGTGGATCCAGAAAGAGACCTCAAAGGCATGCTGACGATTTCACTGCTTCATCTGTAACCTTGATTTGGTGGTGGAAACTCAGTCTGCTCTTCAGAAGCTGTATGTTAAAGGCAGTGACAAGGAATTTACGTAAGTGCTGTTTATATTATAAGCAAAATATCTGAAGCACGAGGTGATTGAGGTGAAACTCTTCCAGCTTGCAAACCATGTCATTCTTCCTCGTCGTAAACTGCACAACTCTCGTCCTATTTCCTGTATTGGTGGGAATAGGAATGTGCTAATTCAGTCATTTCCTTTTTGTCTTTACAAATAAAGTGCAGGTCAGGTCAGTCACAAGATTGGTTCTGTGCCATTCCAGTCAATAACAGCTCCTTGCCACCTAGAAATGAGAGCAATCATTTTACATCCATCAGTTAATCAGGTCATTGGAAAGGTAACCCAACACCCCTCAACCACCCAATGTCAGAGAAATTAGGATGGACTCAACTGGATAGCTAATTATTTCTTCTCAAAGGGAAAGGAACAGAATTGAGGTACTTATGCCCCTTAATTTTCGGTGCCCAAGTTTGGAGGTCAGCCTCCTTACCCTCCCTCCACTCTCTTCTAGGCAATAGAGAGTCCTCAGCAGCAGCTGATTCAGAACAGCTACCTTCATGTTGCCAAGGCTGTAGGGAATCTCCAAGATAGGTACAAGAATTAACCCTATATAACCAGAATGCTGGTTACTAAGCAATTTGCACACTCCTATACAGGTAGGCCTCTGATTAGGAACTCTGTGACTCTAAGACCCATCTAACTGGATCATTTCATTTACCAGCCATCTTCGCCCCTGACCTTGAAGTAGTCAATGGCTCACTTTAATGGCAATGTTTTGCTTTTCTTATGCTGAGGTTTTGCTTTTTCTCTGCCCTCATTTCTTCTTCAGAATAGCACTAAAGATGTGCATTGAGAACAATGTTTCCAAATGAGTCCACCACATGCATCTGCACAAATACCTCCCACGTTTTTAATTCCTGGCTTGGTATTGGCTGCTACTACTCAGCTGCACGTTCCAGCAATGTGACCAACACTGGATGCAAAGAAGGTATCAATCCTGCATTTATCACCAAATGTATCTTCAAATCATGGCAGAAGACCAAGATCTGAACCAAGACTTAGAGAAATCAGGATGATGCTCTCCAATGACCTCACTGGGTTGAAGTGAGTCAACATACTGTGCAGTCAGAGTCATTCACTGCATGAATTGCACCCTTGTCTGTGGCATTTCTCATGTTTGTAAGTTCATGGTCCACATCTTCTGAGAACTAAACTATTGCGTTGCCAGGGTCAAGTATTTATATGTTTTGAAAATCTGTCTCAGAGTACATGTGCACAGTAGTAAGACATTAGTGATGGAGTGGAGACAACAGTGAGTTGCCAGAGTGCCTCATTCTTTTTGTCACTGAGGAAAGAATGTGTCAGCAGGGGTATGGCAGCTCAGTCCTTTCACTGAGAAACTCAATTAAGTGTAAAACAAAACCAAAAGCTGAATTCATGTAGTATTCAATACAAAGTCTCAAAGGAAGTGACAATCTGAGGGCTGTTGTGAATTTTTTCCTTCTTTTTTTTTTATTTTGCTGAGAAAATAAAAAGAAAAAAGTTGTAGAAATACTGTCCTCACCCCAGGACTTAGTAGGAATAAACAAGAGTGATGGCTCACATCTTAAGCTAAAAGCAGAATATGTTTTATCTGGGGATATTTGACCTAGTCTGGCATTCACCAGTTGTGGGAGCTGTCCATGAATATCACCCCAGAACAACCAAATGCAAGTGGGAAGTACGATCACCACCTTCCAAACCCATTGGATTTTTTAGGTAATGCCATCAAATCATCCCTTATCTTTGTGTACAATCTTCCCAAGGTACCAGCTTCTATCTCACCAGGGTTATTAAAGCTTTGCGAGGGATCCACAGAGGCCAAAAGACACCAAATGGAATCTGCTCGGAAATTACACTGTACTCTGCAAAAATACTAACGTGCTGATACCATTTTTGCTGTTATGGCTTAAGATGCTGCTAACTGCTATGCAGCGAGGAACTGGACTTTTAAAAAAATATCCTTTTAATAAAGATCTTAAACAGAAAATGATAATTTGAAGCAGGACGCAAGGTAACTTTCTTAACAAGCCTTATCTCCTCTGTTTATTTTCAAACCATTTTAGCTGAGTTGTGTGTAGACTGAAAAGCAGTCTCTGGCTGTTTGCTTCTATGGAGATGGATTCAAAACTTTTTTCACTTATTGAATCTGCACAAGAAAAGGTGTCAAATAGTGAGGAACCTCACCTACAGGTGCTGAGCAATTCTTTTCTTTACAGACAGAAACAAAACTGTCTGGACAATTCAGCATGATAATTTCCCCAAGATATCCTGCTACAATGTAATTCGAATGGAACTCAGATTCTAGCTGCTGATTTAATTATAATTTATCAGATTAGCAACATGAAAAGTACATTTGATCCATCTGGTTCAACTACAACCTCACCCAAGGGTCATGGAGTTAACGGGAACCCAAGAGGAACTGGTTCAGGCCCTGAACAATGCTCAGCCTGGAATAACATTCAGAGAGTATCTCCTGTACTAATCATTTGGTATTGTTTCAGAGCACACCAATAATTCAGGATGAAATGCTCATGCTCTGCTCTCCTCTTATCCACTAAAATTCCACTGGATGTCTCACTTCAAAGCCAAACAGATGAACTAATGTATCATACAGCCCCAATACCACAGAGGAAAGCTGATCCTAGAGGGTTAACAAAATATACTGCTGAATTCAGATTATAATATCGGATCAAAGTTTTATTCCCCTCAGGCAGAGCTAACAGATGTTTTTTCTGCTACTGCAGAGAGATGCCGAGGATCGTGACTGTGATATAAGATTATTCTTCAGGGAAGAATGGGATAAGACGTCTGCACGACATTTCCCAAACAACCCAAGGATGCACATTCCAGACATCTCTTGGTCAGAATCAGACTGCTTCTACAGATGTCTAGGGCTGAAATCCACAATAAAAGCATTTGTACAGACTCTTTGGTTGGGAGCCTGCAGGTTAAAGTGATATGTGTTGGTGATTAGTTGTGCTAGCCATCTGAAGTATTACCTGCTTTAAAGTCAAATCTTGCTCTTCTGACATTTTATAGAATAGGGACTAAAAATATGAGCCTCCTCATTCTGCAGAAGCAAAACAACCCTTCTCTGATAATGATAATAATAATGAAAAAACCTAAATGCAGAAACAGTCTATTCCATATGCAGTTTTCCCTTTGGGAGAGGATAAGAGAACAAACAGCAGACAGATGTTAGGCATATAACTCAATGCATTACAGGACGGCAGTGTCCAGGTACTGGGGTAAACAATGGGTAAGGCTTTTCATAGGTTAAAACAGAACTGAGTCATGCAAATGGAAGGAAAAACCCCGATCAATATTTGGAAATAACAGTTAACCTTCTCAGTTCTGATTGTTCAGACTGTTTAATTCTCCACACTGCTTGAGAAATTGCCCTGCATTTTTTTTATGAGAAAGGTTTGATAAGGAGTTTCATCTTGAATGCTTGGTCAAAATAAGTAACAACTCCTTGCTTGCTCTACTAAAAATTAGTTTAGGAATATTTCCCATGGTTGTACAATAGAAAACATTTCATTTTTATCTTCCAAATTGTTAAAATATCAATTAGTTTGGTTTGTTTTTACTTTTCCTTATATACTGTTTCATAATTGGAAGAAAAAGTTCTTAAAACAAAAATAAAAAATATAATATGAAAAACCTTTAGCAGCAAAGCCATGTTTAAATAAATACGCTCACAACAAATGGAGAATACTGAAAACAAGGAGCCAGACTGATCAGGGTAAATCAGATAGTCCTGATAATGGTACAAACAAAATAAACTGACACTGGAATTTGCTGGTCATTTACTTCTCCAGTAGATTAAAGTGGGGAATTTAAAATAAACAAACATAACTATTACAAAAACTGTGTAACTTTGATACAATGCCAGGAATGGAAGAAATTCTAAGAGCAACATAGTTGCATGAATTAATGCATTATTCACTCCCACTGTGCAGGCTTCCGAGGCTATATATTATTTATTTTAGTTTGTAGTCACGCATACGTGTCACTGTAAGAGAGGAATCAATCTAATCTATGTGTGCAGGGAGCCTGGACTAATGTCACTGCTGTCATGTTACAGGATGCCTCTTCTACTTGTCTGTAATTTTATAAAGGCAGCCCTGCATGAACACACTGTTTGGCAGCCACTGTCTTTTTCTTTTTCCCCCTTTTTTTTTTTTTTTTTGGTGTTTTTTTACAGGACAAATTGTGGCAAGGAAAGGAGGGAAATTACAAGAGAAATCTGAAGCTACTTGGCTTGCTGATTTAACAAGACCGATGTTACGGTCTTTGACAATGAGGCTTTTACTTCTTGCTCCAAAGATATTCAGATAGCGGCTTTCAAAGCTGTGCTGATGGAGTTGATATAAAGCTGATTTTTCTACCCTGTTAAGTTTCTCCATTTTGCATCTTTCCTGTCTTGCTAAACTTAAAATGTTCTATTTAACTTCAGTATGACTTGGATAAACTGCTTAGAAGTCCATCATTTAATATCATATAGACCTCAAAATGGCCATGAAGTTCCTAACATGATAGGAACTAGCCTTGTCTTTAAGGACAGAATATGACCTAAGAATTGCTAAGAATGACTTCACAAAATGGTGTTTTGTGATCTTGAGAAACTCTGTGCTTCCTATAGACACATTTAAAGTTTGAGAAAATTGAGACCACTGAACACAGGGCTTCACGCATCGAGAATGGTACCCAAGTCCCTCAGAGCAATTATATTTTTCAGAAAAGACTGATGAAGATGGAAGAAATTTTCTCCTTTCCTCATTATCTACAATAGGAATCGATAACTTTTGGGAATCTAAGTTTAGATCTATTGAAATCAAGTTGTGCTCTGAAACTGAATTTGGCTTAGTCAGTTCTTGATGATGTAATGAAAGTTCCTTTAAGAATGAACTGAACATCTTAGTCAGTTTGATGTTAACTACAATAACACAATTAAATGTATAATACATATTCCAACACTCTGGCCTATTCAGATCCTTTCTAATTTTAAGCAGTAATTTTTCAAGATTACTTGCTGTAATATTTTTTACCATACTCCAGCCTTGCACATTATTCACATTGATATCTGAATATATCTATATGAAAAACTGTAGTTTCACTTACTTTGTCCTAATACAGTGCTCAAGTGGAGGAGTAAGATCATTTTCTTTATCTTCAGTGCACATCTGAGTTGTGTCTGCAGAGACATATCAGACATTATTAGTGGCTGGAGCATATTTCTATTCATATAGAATACCAAAGTAGCTTCTAGGAACTCCACCCATGGAAGTGACGGAACACCACTCACACTGTAAATCTCCTAGCTCGAAATAGGCATGTACTCACTTTGGATTAAAATACCATGTAAGGCAAGAACTTCTGGTACTCGAATATCATGTCATGGTCGTGTTTATATCATCTGAACAGAGTGAACATAGGCAGGGCCAGGAATGCTCAGAGTAGCTACCATGGTTACAGCTCTTTACAAATAGCATAGGCTTTATAGCTGACCATAGAGTGGACAGTGTGGCACTCATGGCTTTGTCATCTCTTGAACTCTTTTGGCTTGTGGTTTACTGCCTGTTCATGTGATGGCATGCTAAAGGCTGAAAGGAGGTGACTCAATGCAAACTTGCTGTTGGGAATGATCCCCAGATTGTGCCTAGTATTAGTTGTTCTGGGTCAGTAACTTCGCTCAGAATTGTGCTGACTACTTAAAAGTAAGGATGATCACAGGACAGTGTTCAGACTCATGCCCTGACTCAGGTTAGTTTGCTAATATAGAGTTGATTTCAAGGAAAACATGGATTAGAGAGTGAAAAAATATGCTGGAGGGCTGTTATGAGGTTTTTATTTTGCAATTGATGTGATAATTACTAAGAAAACAATTTTTATTACTCAAATACTAAGGAGAGTGGTAGTCCTACCCTAATAGAAATAGAATAGAAACTCCAAGTCCAGTCCAAACTGGGTTAAGAGTCCTTTACCCTGGAAAAGAAGCTTGTCCCTTGACTTCGAGAAAGCAGTGCACGTATGGGAGAAGACAGAATTGTTCTGGATATAAGAGAGCTACCACAGGCTGTGAACATTCTTTTGGGATGGAGAGGCAATTGCACTGTTCCGGGGAAAACAGAGAGGTCAGTGTCTCAGACACTGGATCTGTCAACAGTGAAAGTAGACGCTGAACTTCCCAGAGAGAAAACATCCTGCAACCAGCTTGGATGTCAGTCTGCTCAGCTGTTTCCTGTTTTGGAGTAAACCATTTTAAACTGCAACAGACTAAGGGTTTTTTTTTATTATTATTCTTTTCTGTCCATCATCCAGCCAATGGGCAGGTTGTGAGCAACAAACGATGCCAAGACAGGGTGTAGGATACGGGTTTGCTTCAGTGAGACTGATGTAGACAGGATGGGAGGCAATTACTTCTTACATTCATAGCTGCCAGACTCAGCTATATCTGGGTTCCTCATGTCATAGAGAAGACCTGGCTCTCCCTTGCTTGTTGATCTTCTCAGTACAAATACATGCAGAAAGCTCTGAATGACTGTAAGCATTAGAGTAGTAGGAAATGGACATAAAGTACATAAAGCACTGGCAGTTTTCTCCTAGGTCCTCAGAAACTTAGAAGTACACAGGAATCTTTCAAGTTTCAAAGGGCCTCTTTTACCCTAATACTGAAAAGTTTATAATAGTTCATTAGAGGTCTCCAATAGTATCTGGAACCCTCTAGGAATTCCTGATACCAATTCCTGATTCCTGGATCTTCTCATAGTAAGAAGCAACAACTACTGTCCTGACCGTAGTATTGGTAGTAGGATAGGCATATTCTAAGCAAAGGGTAGTGAGTGTCAGCACAGTTAACAGACAAACCTGCTATCTAGGAAATAAGATGCATACAGGTTCATAAGAGTGAAATTTGAACAGGTAATAACTGAGAGAAGAAATAATGTCCATAATTTAAAGATTAACCTTAGGAAGTGATGTTTTATTAATTACCTTTCCAAAAGACTTTTGCATATTGGAACAATCTCACCTTAACTGTGGGAAAACACTGTTCTGAAAGAAAGAGTCATAATCAATATACCAGCTTTCCCTAGAAGCTGCCTCCAGTATCTGAACCTCTGCTAATTTCACTGCTGTCTTCTGTGGGATCTGCAAAGGGGCTGAGGATGGTGTCTATGGCTCTGGAAGAATCTTCTGAGAAATTCAGTTATATTCTTTTGAGCAATTATTCAGCTGCTTTTTTAAGACATCTTTAAAAGAATATTGAGTTGAAGATATGGCCAAAAATTCCCTATATAAATGATAACATAGGTAGGCATTAACTGTATATATTAGAAAGGAGGAGCAGTATCTCTCTGAGCAGTACAACATGCTCTTTCATACAAGCACTCTCAGTGACATATAACAAAAATCCCAGAATCTCCACTCAGTCCCTAAATAGCTGACAGAAGATGAGCAAAATGCAGAGGGTTATTATTTTAAATACACTGGTCTGTTTTCCTTCTCTGCCTATCAAAATTTCCTACCCCAATGGAAAATGTTGAAGAACCTTTGTCTATCTGGGATAGTATGTTGAACTCACTAGCAGGCATTGCCTGCTTTTAGAAAGGAACTTTCTATTTCTCATCTACATTTTGGCAAATGGTTGAGAGTATGAGAAGCAGGGCAAATTCTCAATGTAAAGTGGCAGTTGCTACTACCCCAAAAATATAATTCTACTCTTTCTTTCTGGCTTTTTTGCATTTCTTACTCAGTGTAATTTCATGATTCCCTGAAATGTGACCTTGATTGTAATCTTCCTAATTATAAACAAGATTCTCATATCAAGGAATTCACCATCTTGCTAGTGAAAAGGAAACAACTTTGCTAACCAGCACTGGTGAGATGTGGTTGTGCAGCACCAAGGACCTCATGTTGTATCTCTAGGTAACACTGCCTAACCCTCATAGCTTCTTGATTTTTCCACAGTGAAAATACCAGTAATACTTAGCATTCTGCTATTTCCATCTGGTACTGTATGCATTGTTTAGATGTATGATCAGTGTTACCTTTTGGATGTAAAGTAATTTCAGTTTTTCTCCAGACCTAACAAAGGATTACTGTACAGTCAGAACAGAAAGAGTTTCCCTGGAATGATGAAATTATTTGCGTTTTGCAGCCTTTTTGCAGAATTTCACAGATAACAAAAGATTTACTAGGGCACATCCCTGGAAGAGGCTATAGCCACAACAAAAAGGTATCTACCTCTCAAGGCAAGTTTAGTCTTTGAAGAGAAATATACAGATATGTCGTAATAGGCTGAACAGTAAAGAGAAAAATGTATACATACTCTGAGTACTTACTCATCCAGAAATCTCAGAGTGCTTGGTAGCTCTGGATTTTGGAAATATTACTGATTTATTACTGATGAAAAGACAGATAAGGACACTTGTTTTGGACTATATGTTACATGGTACAACAAAATAGAAAAAAATTATCTTGATCTCTCCAGTCCTGTGCTGAACTATATAATCTGTGTCACTTACAATGAAACTTTTATCTGGGACAGACCATGTGGGAATCTGTTGGCAACTATAGTCCTGCAAAGGTTAAGCTTTTTTTTTTTTTTTTTTAGGTAATATATAATGTGATCACTGCAATAGAATGACAGAATTTTAATTAAAATAAGAAGATAAATAGCAGGCAGAAAGATTATTGAATTCACCACCAAATCTTGTGAGATGCTAAAGCCTCCAGCATTCCCACCACACCAAGAGTTTGCCACATGACCTCAGTTAGAACATAGAACATGCGTGTATAACTCATCCTCTTCAAGAACCAGAATATAGGTACAAACAAGGAACACAGACAGCTTATTTTTAGAGTGGACTACAATAGAGTGGCTCCTTAAGATTGAGAAGGAATTTGATTAGATTGTATAAATATATTGAAGGAAAGAAAACAAAAGATAAGTAGGATATTATTAGCAAATAGGAGTTTAGTGATCAAGAATATCTTAATATGGGAAGTTTAGTGATTAAGAATATCTTAATATGTCAATAAGTAGGAGCTTTCTAAGCAGCAAATACTTCTTGTCCAAGTGCCTTCCAGTTGGAGAAATCTGTAATTACTGTAAAAGCAGCTGCATAATTTGGTATGGTTTCCTGAAAGAATGAGTGTAAGAAGTTGGAAGATCCTTTGCATGCTTGTGTTTCTAGGTATGCTTACAAGCAGGTAAGAAATTAGACTTTGTTAGCAGATTCTTGCCATCTTCTGAAGTAGCTGGTTTTGAAGGCAAGGATTTCATGCTTCCTCACCCTCTCTGCTCATTTTACTACAGGCATGTAGGGTTGAGGAGCAGGAAAGTTGCACTTTTGTCTATAGAAACGATGTGAAGGGTATGGGAGTAGTTAAATGTGGTTTATAGTCCTGGGAGCATGAATAAGCCAGATCACACTCTGTTCCTTGGAAATGTGTGTCACTGAAAGATTTACCAGTCTGTATAAAGTAGCATATGCTCACTTTTAACCCTCTCAGGAGCTTATCCTCAAAATTTCCTTGTGAAATATAATTTCCCAATTAATAAACAAAGCTAATTATGGAATTTAGGAAACAGGCATAGAAATAATCTTTAATGTCTGAGACCGTCATTGTTTTTATTACTGTATTCTTCTTTCTGATGTGATGCTGTTGCCACCACCAGAGATGAAATGCAGAGTTACTGAGTTGTACATACCAACCGTTAACCGTATTTCTTCTTCCTGGTTGGCCAAGCCATCATAATAATATAGATCAAATCTCTGCTCTGTTTTCCAGTCACCTAGTAAATCCTTTTCCAAACAAAAAAGCACACTGAAGTGGCTTTCACTGCATACCAACCAAATTGGGTATTTAGGGGTCTTCAAGTAACAACCAACCTAAAAGAAAGATACAAAACAGTAGAAAATCATGGGGGGCAGGGGAAAAACAATTCATTGTGGAAAACATGAGATGTATAAGATCACTTACTTATTATAGTCTACAAACATTAATGAAGGCTCATTATATACTGCTGATAAAGCAGACCAGGATAGTTTTGGTAAATCATGGAACACATAAAGCAAGTATCTGGTCTTGAGTTACAGGCAGGTAATGAAATCCAGCTGTAGTATCCTTACAGCAAAAAGATCATATCCCAGATGATCAGAACCACAAGAAATCCAAACCTCTGCAATAGCTATGAAACCACAATGAGTTTAGGTCAGGAATGCTACATGAGATCAATAGGAGACCGTGTTCTTATGCAACAGTACGTGGAAGCCAGGCTAGAGAATTTATAGGATCTCAGGTGACATGATACAAATCTGTGTGGGCAACTCAAATGACCCCTAAATCTTTTCTTGTATTAAGAAAATAATACATTCCCTTCATTTCAGCATCTTCTTCTAGCTTCGCAGTCCAGATAAGTAAAATATTTTCATCTACTAGAAGAAAGCAACAACAGAAAGACTTGCTTTTGATTCATTATTCTTAAAAATAAAATATTCTCAGCTGAAATGGTTGGACTTAATGATCTTAAAGGTCTTTTCCAACCTAAATGATTCTATGAAAAAAAAATCAATTATTTCTTTACCAGATGCCTTTCCTTTGAAATTTTGAAAGTATCCTTACTTATAAATATCCTAAATAGTCTGTACTAAATTGCATAAAAAATATTTTCTTATTCATTACTGATTTGAACTATTATTCTTAAATCTACCAGATATTTTAAAATGTGGGCTACTACAGCAATTCTTTGGATTTGGAATTTCTTCTATCTATGTATGTATCCATTTATCAGTTCAATCCATTTTTTCTGCTGCTTCACCTCATAGTCTTTAAGGTTCAAGTCCAGCAAAAGATTGAGGCTAGTTTTATACATATTTAGGCTCATATCTATAATTTCTCATGGAATTTATGTTTTAAGGTAGACATATACATGCTTTAATACCAAGGGGAACATATCTATGGTTTTGAAACTTAATATATGCTGATATAAAATGAGTAATGGAAGATTCCTGCATCCCCTGAGGTCAGCAAATATGTTGTAGTGTGTTCTTCACCTCACACTTATGTGTTCTGAGACAGATACCATCTTCCTATTGCATGCTGCTGCTTTAGAACTGCAGTATCAGTTAATGATTTTAGCCCCTTCAGTAGTAAATAATAGAGCAAAAATAGTGATTAGATTGTTTAATGTAGCAAAGAAACCTTATTTCTCCCAGCTGGGATTTTAATATTCAGCTACAACAGATACTTATTATTAGCTATATTCCTGTCATTGAAAGCTGTATTCTAAGTTCAAAATAATACTGGGGTTTTTTTTCTGCAATTGAATTGGTTTTTGTATCTTTAATAAATTGCTCAGGGAAACTAAAAACTAAAATAAAACTTTTTGCTTTCAGTGGAATGTTTCTGACTACAGCTCTGCTTATTACTCATAGAATCATAGAATCATAGAATCATAGAATCATAGAATCATAGAATCATAGAATCATAGAATCATAGAATGGTTTGGGTTGGAAGGGACCTTAAAGATCATCTAGTTCCAACCCCCCTGCCATCAGCAGGGACACCTTCCACTAGACCAGGTTGCTCAAAGCCTCATCCAGCCTGGCCTTAAACACTTCCAGGGAGGGGGCATCCTCAACATAGTAGACAGAATCACTACTGTGCAGGATGCTGTTTACAACCATCTTTATTTTATCCCCAGTTTTAGGTATCCTTTGCTAAACAGATACTGCTGGTATGCAAAATAAGGAATGACAAAAAAGTGTGCAAATATATTTGCATAGAAATATAAGATCAGTTTCTACCTCCATAATAAAGATACATGGATCAAAGAAACTTTGCTAGTTTAGAGGTTCCACTAGTTTTGAAGAGGCTTGCATAGTAATATGGTAGGTGATACAATCTACAGAAATCATCTGTTTATTGCTATCTTCACCTTTACCAGGGATTTAAATCATGCCTCAGCATATGCAGTGGGTGCTCGTGGAAACTGTCAGACTTTTAAGAGAAAAATTCTCATACATGTTTCTACATATAGGTTTGCAGATGCAGCTTCTACAGTACAGCACTCAGTTCTTCACCTTGGGTATGCAGGTGTAAATGCCACCCAATATACTGCTAAAAGGCAGAAGCTGACATATGTGCTGTTGTAAATAAAAGTCTAAACAGCATAGTAAGTGATAAAGAGTCTGTGGGTTTGGTTTTTTTTTTATTCTTGAGATTTAGAATTTATATCTGAAGTGTTATATGAGTACAAAATAAATTATCTTCCCCAATGAGAATTTCTTCTGGTGTTAGGTAACAAGTCTAAGCTAATTAAGTAACTGTTCCCTGACTCATTACTTTGCTAATATCTATTTAAAACAGCTTTTTATACAACAGTTTTGGTTTTTATGTAAATTCTTGGCTTAAAAGTACAGAAAATATTTTACAAGCTTACAAAAATATTCATAAGAGGAGCTATCAAGAAGGGAAATACGCAGATGCAACAAAAGATGGCAAATTAGAGGGATACGGATGAAAAGATTCGGTCTTATAAACATGCATATTTTAGTGTGCAGATAAATCAAAGCCAAAAAGGAACAGAGGAACAGCCAGTCTTCTTCTAAAAATGTTCTTCCTACGTATGTCTGCTAAAGTAACTTCCAAGCTTCATCAAACAACATTTTACAAAACAAGATCAGAGATACAGAACTGCTTCAAAGCACACATCCACTCCAATTCTTACTCACATGAACAGTCCTATTGAAGTCAGGACAAATTGTTCAAATGAGTAAGGTCTGTAGGAACATTTTCCAAATATGTATAGTTTTCAATTACAATGCTTGCAGAAGAAGGCGAGGGCATGAACTTTCAAGACAATAAGGAGAGTATAAAAACATTGCAGGTCAAATCCTCATCTCCTACGAAAAGGGAGAAGTCTTCATTTCAGTTACATTAATTATACTAGTTGACGATTAGCTGCTGCCTTTAACATCAAGTTGCATTCCAGCTGTTGGCTGGTCGCTGCAGGTTTGCTTTTCCCCACAACCACTGGTCACTAGCATCACTTTCCTGGGGCTTCTGGCTCTCCAGATACCCCTTATTATTCCTACACTCCAGTTTTAAGGACAAGCAGCATAGAATGTTTTTTATCCACCAGGCTAAAATTCCTTCCTCTCCCCAAATATGTTACTTTGTCTAGACTTCCTATAAGGAACATCCTCTCCCATAGCATTCCCCAAATCATGTCCAGATTTTTTCTACAAAATATATATGGAACCATGCTATTGTGAGGATTCCTTTGCCTCCTTCTTCAAGCACCAGTTGTTGAGTGGGCTGAAAGTATGTCCTCATTTAACTGATCCAGCTGGTGAGTGGCCAGTGCTTCTTCAATTGCCTTGGCCAGGTTGGTTGGTGTTAGTGATCCTGGAATATAACAGGACCCTGAAGCAGGACAGGGAAGAAAAAGTATGAACAATGTTCTGACTCCTCAGGAAACCCTTTAAACTCAGAGTGAATGTCATCCAGTAAGCGCTTGCCAGAGACTGGGGCCCTACTTTCCAGCTGTTGTAATCTGCCCTATGAATGTAATGCTGGCTCTGACTTCCAAATGCAAATCAGGGATATGTGACTTGAATCTGTTTTATTAAATATTATTATTTTTGTTAAGAGCTCAACAGCTGTATTTCTACTTTGCAGAACATAAAAATAACCTTTTTTTTTCTGCTTGCAGTATCATAATGCATTAAAAAGTAATTGTGCATTGCTATTCAAATATTTGTTTTCAAACATGCTCATTAATCTTCTTCAGCAAAAAAAAAAAAAGGAAAAAGGGGAATGAATTAGGTGTCTTTTCATGATGCATTTTTTCAATTCCTATGGAGGCTCCACTAACCCTATTCCTCTGGCTTAGAAATCCCTTAAGAATGCTCATAAATTTCAGGGACACAATTCTCATCTTTGGAAAATGTCAAACTTTCAAATGCAGGCACCTTCAAAGGGCTCATTTTCAACACTATGGGTGGTCTTTTTCCACATCTGACTTCAGTGTGCATTTGCACAATGGTGAAATTAAATCTACAGACAAATATTTATTACTGGAGAATTATGTCAATATATCTGCCAGAATGAGAGTATGGAACTTCACCATTCAGATTTTATTTTCTCACTGAATAAGGCTATCTTTTGACATGTGTATACCAAAAGACACAAACAAGAAATATAGCCTAGATTCTGTGTCTCTCAGACTCCATCAAACAATTTCTCTTGAACAGAAACAAACATTAGGTTATCATTCCTATGCAGTGGCCACGATTCCAAGAAGAAGAGAAGATGATATCTAAACCAAGGGAGATCACTGGGTATGGATAATGTGGTGGCATTTTTCTCCAGGAGTTTTGTTCTCATTTAACATAATTTCATGTCCTTGCTTGTTGGACTTTTTTTTTTTTTTAATTAAAATTACATTCTGTTATAGTGGAAACTTCAGTCATTTCTTGTTTTATATTTGTTCACCTGATTACAGCTAAATGCATATTTCCCAAAGTAATCATACAGTGCAGTACTCATGCCCGTGCGATTCCACAAAGGTCTAGGTTGTGTCAAACTGAGTAATTGCTAGATGTACTGAATCCAACAGGATTGATAGACAAAAGGATAATTGCAAAAAGCTTTCACAGTCACAGGCCACAGCTTATTGTTTGTTCTGTCAACATTGTTTCCCTGCAATGACCTTTACTGAATTAATATTAAACAATGTTCCAACAGTGTTAGGACTGAAGTATCAATGGTGTAAAACCAGATACCCTTGCAATAGCCCTTGGGTGATCAAGAACACCACTGAATCAATTCACCTATTCCACCAGCACAATTAAAACACCAGGTCACCCATATTACAATTATATTT